GGGCAGAGCCTCTGCCATTGTGTTTCTTTGCTTGCAAGGGTGATGGGGCATGCGTGGGCTTGTCACTAGGCTGAGGGGTGGGCCTTCGTACCCTCAGGTGCCGGTGGTGATCCATGGATCTATCTAATAAATATTCCTCAAGCATCCTTCTGTGTCAGCCCTGAGGTTTTATTTTTGTTTTGGAGAAAAGGGCCTTATGCTAGGTAGTCCAGGCGGGAGCTCACATTCCTCCCAAATGCTGGGATTACAGGCATGAGTCACTACACTCGGCTATCCCTAGTGGGTTTAGTTCTGTTTTTCTTTCCTGGGTTGTTACGATTTTGCTGGGATGGTTGGCTATAGGCAGGTCACATTTTTGTCATTTGCATATTTTGTTGTTGTTGGTTTTTATTTCTCTTCAATTTTCAGAGTCAGCACAGGGCCGCTGATTCGGCATGACTGACAGAAGAGCCACAGGGAATCTTGGCCCATTCCCCCCTCTTCTGTTGTCTTCTTTGGTCCCTCTCCCCCTCACATCTTTCTCTTTCCTCTGTGTGTGTGTGTGTGTGTCTGTGTGTGTGTGTGTGTGTGTCTGTGTGTGTCTGTGTGTATTGGTGCTGAGGTTTGAACTCAGGGCCTTGTGCTCTTGCTTCGTGTTTTCTCTCAATGTTGTCATTCTTGCATTTGAGACACTCCGCCACTTCAAGCATTTTGCTGGTTAATTGAAGATAAGCATCTCACAAAGTTTTCTGCCCAGACTGCCTTCGACTTGGATCCTCACGTCTCAGCCTTTTGAGTAGCTAGGATTACACAGTGAGCCACTAATGCCTGATTTCCCTGTCTCTTTCCTCTTTGAGTAATCTGAAGAAACAGAAATGTTGTTTGTTTGTTTGGTCAGTCATGGAGCTTGAACTCAGGAGCTGGGTGCTGTCCCTGAGTCTTTTGTTCAAGGTTAGTGCTCTACCACTTTGAGCCACAGCTCCCCTTATGGCCTTTGTTGGTTAATTGGAGATAAGAGTCTCTTGATCTTATCTGCCAAGGCTGGCTTTAAACTTCACACCTCAGATCTCAGCCTCCTGAGTAGTTAGGATTACAGGTGTGACTCACTGGTGCCTGGCTATAGCTTCTGAGACAAAAATTGGAGTGAGAAACCTAAAGGAATCTCTCTAGTTATGTGTCTCAGGGTTCCAAATTTCAGATAGTTTATAAAAGTATCAACATGCGGGACATTGGTGGCCTGTAACCTTAGCTACTTAGGAGATTGAGATCTGAGGATCAAGGTTTGAAGCCATCCTGGGCAGAAAAGTCCCCATGAGACTCTTACCTCCAATTAACCACTCAGAAACTGGAAGTGTCACTGTGGCTCAAAGTGGTAGAGCGCTCGCCTTGTGCAAAAAAGCTCAGGGACAGCGCCCAGGCCCTGAGTTCAAGCCCCGGGACCATCACCAACAACAGAAAGTATCCATATGACTTTTGTGGTGGGCTGGACATCCATTTCATTGACATGATCCAAGAACAAATCCAGGCTGCTAACTCTGGTTGATGGGTGTCAAAGCTGGCAGCCAGTGTTTGCTGAGCTGGATCGATCTGCAGATACTGTTGCTTGCACTTATTCATTCTAGTTTTCTAATTCTAGGTTGTTCATGGAAATATGCTGGGTGGCTAGCTCTATGATGATTCACCCTCACATTATTCTCTGTTGGCATATTTGGTAAACCCTTGGGAAGAATGTCCCCCTAATTACACGTTGCAGGGTGCATTGTTGGTGTGGCCCTATCATTTCCAATCGAGGTCTCTTTTATCATCTATCCGAAGCATTTTGAGTAGCAATTGCTCCTTGGTGAATTACTACCCACAGAATCCCCTGGTATTCGTAAACAGCTTGCCTTGGGTCAGCGGTAATCCAGGCATCATTGTATCCACCTCATCTTGATAGAGTTGGTGAGGGCTGGTTTTGCTTCCTCTTCCTGCCTCGTGAGTCATTTAGAGACTTTTTTTTTTCCTGCCAGGCTAACCTCGAGTGTCTCACGTGTAAAACAGCAGCTTTTCTGATAATCAGCGTATCGGGGCTGTAAAGAACATGTACTTGTTTTGTGGGTGTTAAAAGGAAGAATGGAGAATGTGGTTCTTTAGGAGTTGAGTGGTGGTGGTGGTGGTATTGGGTAAGTGAAGAAAAAAGAAAATCTATCTGGGTCCTGGTGACTCACACCTGTAATCCTAGCTACTCAGATCTGAAGGTAATGGTTCAAAGCCAGCCCAGGCAGAAAAGTAGGAGAGACTGTTATTTCCCATTAACCACCAAAGGAAGGGGGGGGGTTGCAGAAGTGGAACTGTGGTTCAAGTAATACAGCATTAGCCCTGAGTGGAAGAAAAAGCTCAGGAACAATCTTCAGGCCTTCAGTTGAAGTGTCAGAACTGGCACAAAACAAAAACCAAGCCCAAACCCCAAACCCAAACCCCAAAACAACCCACCAAAAAAACCCCAAACCCTCCGATATCTTTCTTGGTGTTAAAGTAGTTCACATGTTTATAGCTTTCTTTCACGCACCTGAAGGCAGACACCTCTGTGACAGCCTTGTACTTCTTTTTAGCCTGAGTTATCTGCATTGTATTTGCCCAAGGTAAATATTTCTCTAGCTGTGAACAGGTCATTAAAATTCTGAACCTTTTATGGCCCTGGATCCTTATCGTTGAAATAATACTCTGCGAGGTGGACAGTCCACCTGGAGGCAAAGGTATGTGCCTGTCAGATGACCTGGATGCAGAAGAATTTCAGGCCCTGGAAGTCATGGAGTTGGGGGTGAGGGGTGGGGAGAAGATGCCTGCTCCAGGGCCCCACCTGATACAAAGAATGTCTTTTGAAATTGCCAGTCCCCCCCTGACCTGCCCTGGAATTTTTATAATTCCAGTCCCTCCTTCTCGGCAGACAATGAAGGGTGGGGTGTGGCTGCTTTACAGTTTGTGTGTTTTTTGGTGGTTGTTGGGGGGGGGTTGTTGGGGGTTGTTTCCTGGCTCCGGAGAATCCTGACTTGGTTGGGGGATCCCATCACCCGTCAGGAGGTATGGGGAGGAGCTGGGGTCTGTGCAAATGACTGTTGAGTAAACAATCGAATGGGGTTATTTCGTTGGGATTTGCGCTTCAAGACTTTAAAAACCAGGCAGGTGGAGGTCAAAGGTCAGTTGCCAGCTCCTCTCAATCCTGAGGGGCCATCTCCTGGTTTGATTCTGTTCTACTTGCCCTTGGAGGCTTCTGGGAATGGAATTAAAGCAAATTAAAAAAAAATAATAATAACATGCCAGGCAGGTCCCTGTTTTTCCTCAGAATTCTAATTTCATAAAAGCTTCAAAAATCAAATTAAGAGAAAAAAAAATCAGGTAGAGGACACAAGATATCTTAGAAGTCAAGTTGGAGGTAGGTGCACATTTAGAGGCCCTGAGCCGGACAGGGTCAAGGCTGCCAGACAGCGTGGTCCACACTGCCCCCTGGTGGCCTCCACGCTCAGGGCAGGCACGGCCCTACCCTCCCACGTGGCTTCTTGGAGCTGGCCAAGCTGGCCAACCCGCTGGGCAGGCTCTTCTAGAGGCTGCCTCCTTCCTTCCTTCCCTTTGCTCCACCCCACTTCCATCCTTACTCCCCCCCAGAGACTGGAGATGGGTGTGGCTTGATCAGGGGGCTGACTCTCACCAGACAGGAGCTGGGTTGGTTGTTTGTTGTTTGGGTTTTTTTGGGGGTGTGTGTGGGAATCTTTAGGACAAGTTGTATTTGCACATTTTACTTTAGAGCCACTTATAACATCTGTTTATTTTGGTGTCCTTCCTGAGGATTGAGCTCCAGACCTGAGTGCTATCCCTTAGCTTTAAAAAAAATTTTTTTTTTTTTGCTCTAGGCTAACACTCCTCTACTACTTGAGCCAGAGCTCCATTTCTGGCTTTTTGATGATAAATCAGAGATAAGAACTCACAGACTTGCTTGCAATCCTCAGATTTCAGTGTCCTGAGTAGCTAGGATTGCATGCGTGAACTGTCAGCATCAGATTGAAAGTAATATCTCATCTCTATCTCTCTCCTACCATCTCTATATCTCTCTATATTAGCAGCTGATGTTTGGCCTGTACAAAAAAGCCTGAAATGGGAAAGCTTGGGCTTTAAAAAGTCTGTCGGTAGGAGAGGTGGGTGGAAGGGGTTGGAATAGATCAGAATCCCCGCCATGAGGCACACTAGGTCAGCCGGGAGCCGGCTCCGCCCGCTCCACCGTCGCTGGGGTTGTGGCAGTCTGGGACTGAAGTGGGGCCTGTGCTCATGGGGGAGAGGATGGCTTGAAGCTGCCCCCGTTGACTGGAGAGGGAAGTGTTAAGGGATGGCCCTGAGGCTTCTGACAGACCAGGCGACAGGAGAGGGTGGAGGGTGGTGGCTAGAACTGGGTGAGACTCAGGGCCAGGCTGGAGATGGGAAGCCTGAGGCCTGCTAGACGCCCAGATGTGGAGGAGTGGTTAGATCTAGCAGGAGGGGGCTTGAGCTCTTTGCATAGCAGGTATCAGAAACAGAAGAAAGGAATTTGCGGGGAGGCTTCTGAGCTTTCTTCTGGGGTTCAAGAGCAGAGCTCAGTTGCTTTTTTTTTTGGTGCTAGTCCTGGGGCTTGAACTCATGGCCTAGGTGCTGTCCCTGAGCTTTTCCGCTCAAGGCTAGTTTTCTATCACTTGAGCCACAGTACCAAGTCTAGTGTTTTTTGGGGGGTGATTAATTGAAGAGCCTCACAGACTTGACCTCCCCCTCCCTCCTCCCCCAGCCCTGGCTGGCTTTGAACCATGATCCTCAGATCTCAGCCTCCTGAGTAGCTCCTCTATATGTTGCTGTATTTCTTAGCCAGGCTGTAACAAGCCTCCCCTCTTAGGCAGGTAAATGAGAAGATGGGAGACAAGCCGGTGGAGATGCTTGTGTTTTATTGAAGCGAGCACAGGCAAGTGGGGGGGGGCGCGGGGGGTGGTGGAGGTCAAGGTGACAGTGACAGGGACTTTTGGCCATTAGGCATCTTTGCCTTTGACACTCCTTGGGCTTTGGGCTCCTATGTCAGATGCACATAGTGGGCTTTTTAATATACTGTCCTAAAAGAAAGAAAGAAAAACATTAATAGTAGATTTCACACAGACACTGGGTCACAGAAACATTTGAACTGAGGAGGTATAGTCAACTCTGGGAAGAATTAAGAGTTTGAGGGCTTGGTGCTTTCCTCAAAGGCATCAAGAAAAAAAAAATCTATCTAGGGTCCAGTGGCTCACTCCCATACGCCTAGCTCTAACTTAGGCTGAGAACTGAAGATCGCTGTTCAAAGCCAGTGCAGGCAGGAAAGTCTCTGTGACTCTTATCTCCAATTAACTATCAAAAACACTGAACTATGGCTGTGGCTCAAATGGTAAAGCAGCAGTCTTGAGTGAAAAAAGGTCAGGTCCAGAGTCCAGGTCTTGAGTTCAAGCCCTAGTACTGGCCCCAAAACCAAAACCAAAAAATCCCCACCAACAAGCACAACAAAAGCTAAAGCTGCTGGAGTGATGTATCATGCCTGTAACTCCAGCCCTGGCGCTACGGCTACCGAGTGTGAAGGAGGCTGCTTACCGCCAGCTTCATGACGTTGGATCGGGTCTCCTGGGGGAGCGTGTCCACCAGCTTCTTCATCTGGAGGGCTGAGTCCAAGATGGCTTGCTCGGGGTGGAAAGGCTTCAGGGAGCCTTCATAACTCGAGAGGGTGCCCAGGAGGAATTTCTCAAAGGCATATAGAAATCTTGGGCAGATCTCTGCAGAAGCTAGAGGACAGGAAAGACAAAACATGAAGCCAGGACTTTTTCCAAGCTCGCTGCCAGCTCTCTGTCAGATGCAAACAGCCGGGGTCAACCAGGGAGAGATAGATGATGATGATGATGATGATGATGATGATGATGATGATGATGATGATGATGATGATGATGATGATTGTCAGTCATGGAGCTTGAACTCAGGGCCTGAGCACTGTTCCTGAGTATTTTTGCTCAAGGCTAGTGCTCTAACTATTTTGAGCCATAGCGTCACTTCTGGTTTTCTGGGGGTTAATTGGCATCTCACGGACTTTCTTACCTGGGTTGGCTTTGAACTGGGATTCTCAGATCCTCCTGCATAGCTAGAATGACAGGCACAAGCCACCAGTGCCTGGCTGAAGTTTTGCTTTGTTTTGTTGTTTAATAGCAATCGTATTTTCAACTTGGATTGGAAAAAACAGAGTGGAAAAGAGCTAGAGACCCCCCCCATTTCTTAAAAGACTGGATACATGGGGGAGATATGACTGCCCTTCCTCCCTCCCTCCCTCCACTCCTTCATTTCCCATTCATTTCTTCTTAGAGACGGCAACAATTACTCTTTCTGGAATATTCCTTTCTTTTCAGAATAAAGGGTCTCTTTGAAGAACATGAGTCTCAGCATCTCCTCTTCTAGACTCCCCCCCCTCCCCTGCCCCTCACATTAAGACTAACAGCAAGAATTGGCTGGAGGGCTGGGAATGTGGCTTAGTGGTAGAGTGCTTGCCTAGCATGCATGAAGCCTTGGGACAGTGCCCAGGCTATGAGTTCAAACCCCAGGACTGGCCAAGAAAAAAAAAAGAGTTGGGTGGAGACCCCAAACCTGGAGGCTGAGTCAGTGTTTCTTGGCGTCCCGGGCCATCCTGGTCTAGACATGGGGGAATCCCTGTTCCTAGATGCACACACCTCTGATCCCCTCCACGAGTTCTTCCAGTCTTTCTGATCCCCTGAAATTCTTTTCTTTCTTTCTTTCTTTTTTTTTTGTCAGTCCTGGGGCTTGAACTCAGGGCCTGGGCGCTGTCTCTGAGCCATTCTGTGCTCAAGGCTAGCGCTCTACCACTTGAGCCACAGTGCCCCTTCCAACCTTTTCTGTTCATGTGAGTCTGAGGAATGGAACCCAGGGCTTCATGCATGCTAGGCAAGCACCCTACCACTAAGCCACCTTCCTAGCCCCTCCCCTGAAATTCTTATTTGTGCTACTAGGGTTTGAACTCAAGGCCTCGGGGTTGCTAGGCAGGCCCTTCACCACTGAGCCACGCCTCCACCCAGTCCATACTCTCTGGAATTCTTTCCCTATCTCCTAACAGCTTGCTGCTTTCCCCAAGACCCAGGATGGACGTGGTCATCAGACCCAGAGTTCTGGGAATCAGCATTTGGGGGCCCCCCTCGGTGCACCCCTTTATTGGGAGAGGGGCCCTGGGCACTCACCAGAGCTGCAGCACATGGCTAGGGCAGCCAGGGCGAGGATGGTGGCCAGCTTCATGGCGGAAGGCTGGGGAGGCGCTGGCTGTGTGGAGCTGGAGTCCTGTGGCACCCATGGCTCCCGGCATCTTCTTATATGCTCCAGGGTGGCATGGGGGGGCAGGGGTGGGGGGCGGGGGCAGGGGGCAAGGCCCACTCAGGAGATGGAATTATTTGCTTGGGCATCTGCTTTGTGGAATAAGTAAATATTTTCATTTCTCAATCCAGTTTCTGAAGTCCTTGAAACTGAGCTCCCACAATGGGCCCTTTGGGAAAAAGCTCAGGTACCCCCCCCCAGAAGGCCTGAGCCAGGGGACCCAACTCACTGGCCCTCCGAGGAAGGACCTTAGGCCGTGATGGTCTTGATTCTCAGGGCATCGCTGTAGTCAGGCTCCGGGGAGACTTGGACTAAAGTATGTGGACAAATAAAAGACTTTTCCAGACCCCAAGCCTTCAGCCAGACACTGCTAGTTCACGCCTGTCATCCTAGTTACCCAGGAGGCTGGGATCTGAAGGTCACAGTTGGAAGCCAGCCCAGGTAGGAAAGTCTGTGAGATTCTTACCTCCAGTTAACCAGCAAAAAACTGGAAGTAGGGCTTTGGCTCAAATGGTAGAGCACCAGCCTTGAGCAAAATAAAAACTAAGTGAGGGCAAGAGGCCCTAAGCACACACACACACACACACACACACACACACACACACACACACACGACCCAATGAAGCCACAATGCTGAGCCCAGGCTGGTCCTGTTCCCATCCTGAACTCTGTCCTCCATTTCTGCCTTTCTGCTGGCCAAAGGCAAAAACACTTTACAGTCCTCATCTCTCTTAACCTCTGAATGACCTTTATTTCCCCTTGACCCTCTCCTTTTTTGATCTTGTATTTCCCCTGGGTTCCCATGCTCAATTCTTTCCTGTGGTCCCTCCTCTGGCCTTATTCTTACCCTTCTTATTCTTTCTTGATGTTGACTTTTTCTTTTTGAAGTTGTTATTATAAGGGTAGTGTACAGAGCGGTTACAGTTACATAAGTCAGGTAACGAGTGCATTGCTTTCTACTAGTGGTTCTGAAGTGTTGGCTGTTCTCAGCTTTCTCCCTTCCTTCTCCAGTGCTCTTGTTTTAGAACCACCTGGCCCCGCCTGATTGAAGCCTGCTCCTCGGTCTTGCAGCTACCAATCAGAGGTCAGGAGTTGATCTTCCCACCAAGCCCACCAAAGTCATCCTGTCCTGCCTGGTGGCCAGATGAAATTCAAGTTCAACTTGCAAGGCCCTTGGCCCCTTGGCCTCTGTCTGCCCTTTGAACTTCACCCCAAGTGCCTCGCATGGCGTTTGATGTTTTCTTAAAGTATTTCTGTATTTGAGAACATTCTAGATTTTCTTCATTTTCTTCTTTCTACCTTTTCACAAACTAAGTCTCATTCTTGGATGATGTATTTCTTGTCCATTTCTTTAAATCTATTTGAACTTGAAGATTCAGTCAATTGTCCATCTTTTTTTGGGGGGGGTTGATTGTGGGGCTCAAACCTGGGCACTGTCCCTCAGCTCTTCAGCTCAAGGCAAGCTCTCTACCACTCAAGCCACAGTGCCACTTCTGGTTTTCTGGTGGTTTATTGGAGATAAGAGTCACAGGAACTTTCCTGCCTGGGCTGGCTTTGAACCACAGTCCAAAAATCTCAGGCTCCTGAGTAGCTAGGATTACAGCCGTGAACCACCAGCACTGAGCTTTCTCCCTTTATTTTTTTCTCCAGGTTAGTGTTTTGTCACACCTTCACTTCTGTTGTGTGTGTGTGTGTGTGTGTGTGTGTGTGTGTGTGTTTTCTTTTGCTGCTTAATTGGAGATAAGAGTCTCATGGACTTTTCTGTCCAGACTGGCTTTGCACCAAGATCCTCAGTTCTCAGCCTCCTGAGAAGCTAGGATTACAGGCGTGAGCTACGGGTGCCTGGCAGCTGACATCCACCTCAGCACCTGCTTTCCTAATGCAGCAACCCATGGCAGGGACAGGACAATGGAGAGGTCACACCCCAGTTCTTGTCCTTGTGGGGTTGACAAACAAGTAAATAAGTAAATGAAATAATTACAGTTGTCATGCTTGCTAGGGAGGGACTGAGCAGGTGCTTGGTTAGAAAAGATCTATTTAGATGGTGGAATTAGTCCAACCTTTGTGAATGGGTGGCTGTATTCGGAGGCCACAGAAGATTCTAGAAAGAGGAAACACCCAGCACAGAGGACCTAAGGTGGGAATGCCTTAGGCGTCCATGAACTGGAGGTTTAGGACCTACAGGGGCTCTGTACACATTACAGGGAAGGCAGTGTTAGGAGGATTGAGAGTTTGAGGCCATCTCAGGCAAAGTTAGCAAAATTCAAGTTCAAAAAATAAAAGACAGGGCTGGGAAGGTGGCTCAGTGGTAGAGCGCTTGCCTTGCATGCATGAGGCCCTGGGTTCAATTCCTCAGTACCACATAAGCAGATAAAGCCAGAAATGGTGCTGTGGCTCAAGTGGTAGAGTGCTAGCTTTGAGCTGAAGAGCTGAGAGACTGCGCCTAGGCCCAGAGTTCAAGCCCTATGACCAACCCCCCAAAAAAAAAAAAGAAAAAGATTTAGTGGCTCAAGTAGTAAAGCACTTGTCTAGCATGCCCAACGATCTATAGTGTGTGTGTGTGTTTATTTATTATTTATTTATTTGCTAATCTTTTTTGTGTGTGTCAGTTCCAGGGCTTGAACTCAGGGCCTGGGCACTGTCCCTGAGCCTTTCTGCGCTCAAGTCTAGCACTCTACCACTTTGAGTCACAGCTCTACTTCCAGTTTTTGAGTGTTTAATTGGAGTAAGAGTCTTCCTGTGACTTTTCTGCCCCAGCTGGCTTTGAACTAGGCTGAGTAGCTAGGATGACAGGCGTGATTCACCAGCATCCAGCCCACAGGCTTTTTAAATTTTTTTTCTATGGAACCCAGGCTGGCCTTGTAACTACATAGTTAGCTTAGTCTGGCCTTGCCCTCATGATCCTCCTGCCTCAATTTACCGGGTGCTGGGATTATAAGCGTACACCACAATGCCCAACTTCTCAAAGGGTCTTAATCAGGGAGTGAAGTGCTCTGACTTCCATCTGTTGAGGTGACCCTGACTTAGGAATTGGGGTTCGTGGGAAACCTTGGGAAGAACAGGGCTGGGAACAGGGAAGCCTTCAGCAGATGGGCGGGTGCTCAGAGAGAACTCTCGCCGCGTGCCTTTCTCCACCCGTGGGTTCACAGTGCTCACTGCACGGTGTTCTTTCAGATCTTTTCTTGTGCCACTCCTTTTCACTTGACTGATCTCCTGCAGGGCTGTGGCCTTCGAGAGCAAGCAGTACTGGCTAAGCAGGAATTCCTGGGACGAATTGATGAGCGAAGCCGTTGAGTTATGTGCTATGTGGAGGCTGGGGTGGCAGGGGCAGATAGTCCCACTTAGAGACGACTTAATGTGGTTGCAAAGAGCACAGGTTGGGAAAGTAGTTGCTGTGAATGGATTGCCCTGTGATCACACCGAGGAATACTAGACAGCTGGGTAGACAGATGAGGAAGGAAGATCTGAACTGTTGATGAAAGGCTCACCCAGGCAGACTTGGAAAGGACATAGAAAAAAAAATTGCTGGATATTGGTGGCTTATGCCTGTAATCCTAGCTACTCAGGAGGCTGAGATTTGAGGATCACGGTTCAAAGCCAGCCCAGGCAGGGAAGTCCACAAGACTCTTATCTCTAATTAGCTACTAGAAAACTGGAAGTAGCACTGTGGCTCAAGTGGTAGTCTTGAGCTGAAGAGCTGAGGGACAGTGCCCAGGCCCAGAGTTCAAGCCCCATGACCAACCAGAAAAAAAAAAAGTCTCATGGCCTTTCCTGCCAGGGCTAGCTTTAGGCCTTGATCCTCATACTTTGAAATAGCTAGGATGGCAAGCCTGAGCCACTAGTTCCTGGTTCATTTTTTTTTTCTTTTTAAGACCGTACAGTTCTGACACATGCTACCATGTGGGTGAAACTTGATCTGATACGAAGTAGAAAAAGCTAGTCACAAAAAGAGAAATATTACCAGGCATTGGTGGCTCATACCTGTAATCCTAGCTACTCAGGAGGCTGAGATCTGAGGATCATGGTTCAAAACCGGCCCCGGCGGGAAAGTCCATAAGACTCTTATCTCCAGTGAACCACCAGAAAACCGGAAGTGGCAGTGTGGCTCAAGTGGTAGAGCACTCACCTTGAGCTGAAGAGCTCAGGGACAGCATCCAGGCCCAGAGTTCAAGCCCCATAACTGATAACAACACCAAAAACCCCAGAACAAAAACCATGATCCTTCCCATCTCTGCCTCCAGGGTAGTTAGAAATACAAGCATTTCTTTCTCCTGCCATGCAGACTGCAAGACTCCAGGTACTTCTCTGACTCCTTGCAGAAAAGAATTGATCAAGGCTGGTATTACAGGCATGAGTCACTCCATCTACCCTACAAGGGTGTCTTCCTGCAAGTGCCACAGCTCCCTGGCTGTGCAGAGAATGGCTGAATGAGTGTCATCACGACAAATCCAGTCTTGAAGCCCAACTCTCTCTAGGGAAGTCTGCAGGCCATCTTCCAAGGCCGTGTTATGGGATGCCCTTGTTTCTGCCACTTCCCTGCCAAGTCTCCTCTCTAACTCTCTTGTTCCTCTGCATTCACTCCTGGGTCTTCTTTTCCTTCACTTCTTCCATCCTTCTTCCTTCCCCTTCCCTCCCAAGAGGCCTCTGGCTCATCACCCTCCTTCCTACATGATGGCTTCCTAGGCCCAGCTGGTGAAGGTTGGAGATCCATCTTGGGCCTGAGTAGGACCATGATTGGCCACCGCCAAATGTCTGGAGCTGTTCCAGGCCCTGGGAGAGCCCTGCCTGGCAGCGGCGAGGCTCTTCTCTCCTCCGCCCAAGAGCCTGCAAAGCCTCCTCTGCTTCCTTTGCCCTCTCCCAAGAAATGTATTTGTCGAAGCTCTGAGCAGAGAACTTCTTAAACTTGAACACAGAGCTGGGTGCTGGTGGCTCCTAGCTCCTCAGGAGCTGGGT